TTAGTCCTAAATAATGAGAAGTCCCACATATTCGGCAAACTTTTCTTGAGTGTTTTTCCTCATCACTCTCAGCCTAAGCTTCCACGCCCACATTTGAAATCCCTACCTCTAAAATATGTATTTAAAATTTTCACAACAATCATACCATTTTGAAAACAGCACAATACTTCTGTCCCACTGAAAGCTTTGTATATTATAACTTCTATCCCCATTATGGCCAATATTAGAGATTTCATTAATTCTTTCAATTCCGGATCTTATACATGATGTCAGATTTTCCATTTTTTAATTTTTGTTTTTGTTTTTGTTTGTGCACTCATTTATTGTTTATTTTGGAATTGTTTCTGGTAGTACTATCTTTACAAAATGAACTATATGAGAACATGTTTTAAGTTGTAAAAAGTCCTAAGAACAATTATGCAGAAGAGTAAGCTGAATATCACAAAGCAAAGAATATATATATAGTTACAAAGCAAAGAATATATTTAACACATACATTTTAAGAGATTTATTGAATACTACCCATATACTGACATGGAAATCTTGATGGATTGCACAGGGATAGTGTTGCTACTTGGTGTCTCAGGATAGGCAGTTATCTCTGACCACAGGGAATAGCAACTCATAAGATAGTTTTCTGTCTTAGAAAAAGGAGAGTGTTTTCATAATTAATATTATTTCCATTGGTAGAACAATTTTCAGCACTGGAGGCAAATCACTTTTACTATGTATAAGAAAATACTTTGTTTACTTACTATTCTTCCACTGGCCCCTCCCCTGGCCTACAAATAACCTCATTATATCTCCCATCTTTCTGTTGTGTTCACTGATATATCCCTAGTGCCCAGAATAGTGCTGGGAAAATAGTAAGTGTTCTCTGTACATTTTTGAATGAAGTAATTAAAAGAAAATCTGAGTTAATCTGTCTAGATACCATCTAATTTATGTCCTTTTATTTAAAAACTGAACTGAAAGAAGATACTCAGTACTTACTACTCCTTTTTCTTCATGTAAATTCACTTGTAAACCTACCAAAAGCAATCATCCCTGCGTACCATTCAAATAAAACTTTTCTCGATGTCCCCATGCAAGGACCAATTCCGGAGCTCTGTTCTCTCTAATGTTCCAGATGGACTTCCTCGGGGCAGTTGACTCTTCGGCTTCCTTCATTCTTGAAACTCCTCCCAGAATTTTATTGTGAGAAAGAATCTTAATTTCTCTTCCCCCCTCGCTCATTATAATCCCATATTGACTGGTGCCTTCTGAGAACCTGTTTAGGGAGTGGTTAAAAGCATTATTATGGAATCTGGTGGCTCAGTTTGAATTTTGGTCCCCTAGTTACAAGATTTTCTGAACATGCTCCTGTATCTCGCTTGTACTTACCTCAGACCATACCTACCATTACTTACCACTGACTCTAGCCCTCGTTGGTTCATATCTAGAGTTTCGCAGGTGTGGTTATGATTTTGCAGCACTGGGTTAGATGTTGGTAGAGGCCAGAACGTAACATGTATCAGATAACAGTGTCTTTTCTAAAATTATTTCATTTAATTTTTCAAGCAATTGCGAAGTAAATACTCTTTTTTTCATCTCAGTAGAAGTATCTGAACCTCAGATGAGCCAGCTACGTTGATCCAGGTAACACAGTAGAGTAAATGACAGCGCTGACTTTGCCATTAGTATCTGGTTAGTCACACTTTGTTTCTTGAGCACTCCAGCAATTAAACCCTTTGGGAGGAAGGGGAAAGAACTCTTTGAGGGGGTTTCCTTGGGGAAACTGAAGTTATAAATATGCCCTGAAAGGCCGTTGGTATTGGCATCTTACAAACATTATGATATCTCAAGAAGATTATGTAGCTGGATTAGATACTGAGATTGTAAATGTCTCTCGGTTAAATTAGGCTTTATCTAAAACCAGTTCATTGCATGCCAGCTCTTGAAAGCCTCTGGTTCTTATAAATCATGATATACAATGACTTCAACTAAAGTCCTTGCTAAATTGAATCAAGAACATTCTGTACAATGGACTATCCTTTAGGCAGTTAGTAGGCACTAATGACTGGCTTCCATAGGTATATTTATCCTGGTATGGACAGTGAAGTATTGGCGTCTATCTGCTGTATTTCTTGAGCTTTAAAACAAGCAGACAAGAAGCAATCCAAACAGTGTATTTCCACATAACTGAGTAAAGTAACATCAGATCCTAAAATGTAGTCCTTGCCTGCTCTCAGATGGTATGACCCAATCTAGGAAGTGACCACGAAGCCCTTAGATGTGATTTAATATGAATTGTGGCCCTACTTCATAAAATAGCATTTCATGATATTACTTTGTGATTAGACTACTACAGGTTTTTTTTCAAGTAATTTTTTTAATAGTTAAAAACTATTTCCAGGCTCTTCTCCATGCAAAGCAGGAGAAATAAAAAGGTTCTTTTTGATCTGGCGTCTTGTATTAGTTTAAATTGAATCTTCACTATTTGAATTTATTGCAGCAGATGTCCTCAGCTACCCAATTATTTTAGCACAATTTGGCACATATATAATTTTAAAAGATCTTGTATCTAGGCGAAGCATTTAATTTCCTACCAAATTAATCCCTTTGGAACATTACATTGGATGCCATAGTGATTTAAAAAAAAAAAAAAAACCTCTTTCATAACAGTAAGTTGCTCCAGTAAATACCCAGTACTCTGCACAAATGGAAGATCTGCATTTATTTCCTCTGTTATATATGGTGCAGGTTTTCTTATTACTAATTATGTACTCTTTCTCAGCTATTTTTAATAACAATGTATGTTGTGCCCTTTCCTTTCTAATTCTGGGTTTTTCTGTTCTCCTGTTTGAAGGAGATGACATGCTTTTCTTGACCCTAAAAGGGCAATGAATGTGGTTTAAACCAGAATTCTTCAGCAATGTGGTCAGGAACAAGAATGATAATGTTTAAGATTTTGCTTAGCTAAATGACATATAATTCAATATGCATTTTTAGTAATTAAAATAAGTTAATGTGTCCCAGTTACTGTTGCTGTGTAACAAATCATTCTAAAACTTTTTAGAGTAAAGCATCCATTTTATTATGTGCACAGATTCTGTGCATTAAATACTTAGATATGGCATAGCACAGATGGTTTGACTGTGATCCATGATGTCTGGGCCTCAGCTGGCAAGACTCAAAGACTAGAGATGACTTAATGGCTGAGAGCTATGAAAATCTAGAGGTTCTTTCACATACATGTGTGGCACATTGTCTGGTATTATTAAAAGTCTGGAAATTCAGTTGGGAATGTTGGCTGAAACACTTGTATACAGCTTTTCGTGGTATTTTTGGTTTTAATACCATGGTCGGTAGTTTTTTGAGGTAAAACATCTTAGAGGAAGGCATGCCAAGATCAAGCATTCCAAGAGTGCCAGGTAATAGAGCCTCAGAATTCACCTGGCATCATTCCCTCCAAATAGCTATAAGCCCATCCCAGAAGTCAGTCTGGATTCGAGGAGAAAAGACACAGACCCCCACCACTTAATTAGAGAAGTTGAAATGATTTGTGGATATATTTTAAAACCACAACAAATATATCATCTAATAGAGTGATAAATGATAGGTAATTATTTTCTGTATGCTTAAAATTGTTGTAGTCTGGGCACCTGGGTGGCTCAGTTGGTTAAGCGACTGCCTTCAGCTCAGGTCATGATCCTGGAGTCCCGGGATCGAGTCCCACATTGGGCTCCCTGCTCAGCAGGGAGTCTGCTTCTCCCTCTGACCCTCCCCCCTCTTGTGCTCTCTCTCTCTCATCTCTCTCTCTCAAATAAATAAAATCTCTAAAAAAAAAAAAAAGTTTGTTGTAGTCTATATATAACATTCCACATCCCTGGACTGTAAGGAGATGCATTGAAGTTCAGGTAGCAAGCACAACAAAGTATTCACCATATTTGTTATGCTCAACCTTGTTATTTTTTGTTTTTTGCTTTGAAAATATTTTGTTTATTTTAATGAAACTGGTACAATGTTCATTTAAAACCCATATCCCAGGGGCACGTGGGTGGCTCAGTTGGTTAAGCATCTGCCTTCGGCTCAGGTCATGATCTCAGGGTCCTGGGATGAAGCCCCACGTTGTCGTGGTCGTCCTCGTCGTAGTCGTCGTCATAGTCGGGCTCCTTATTCAGCAGGGAGTCTGCATCTCCCTCTCCTCTGCCCCTCCCTCTGCCCCTTTCCCTCTGCCCCTATCCCTCTGTCCTTCCCCCCCTACTCATATGTGCACTCTCTCTCAAATAAATAAATAAAACCTTAAAAAAAAACCTATACCCCAGGCCAAAAAGTACAAATAAAATCAAAAAGAGCAGTGTTCTGTTGAACACACTTCTGCATGAATAACTTTATTAACTGCTAATAGAAATTAGGACTTTCCTGGGATCTTCTGATGAGATTTTTCTTTTATCTTAAAATGCTTTCTCCTTAGTGAAGCCATCTTTGGAGTTAATCATTACTCTCACCATCGCTGTTATCTCGGCTCTAGCCCGATAGTTCTCTTCTTTTGATCCAGATACTCAAATTCTAAAAGTAGCTTCAAGTTAAGGAAAGATCATTTTCCACAGTTCAGTTCTTTGAAAAACTTCCATCTCCCACTGTAAGTCATAGTCCAGGAATGAAGCAGTCACATGCTAGAACTTCAGCGCCCATTGAAAAGTCATTTTGAACACTGGAATTGGTTGATCTTATTTATCACAAGCCTGAAAATGCACAGTCCTGGCATCTCTGTGCACACATGTAATTTTTTTAAAGGAGAAGGTGATATATGAAGGAGGCTGAAGTTTGATCAACTAAAATTAGCACAATGAAAACAAGTGATAATGAATAATGGGCACTAGAATTCAAATTATCAGATACTTTAAAGAGATGTGGTGCCAGTTTTCAATTCCGTTTTGAGCACCACATTACAAAATAACTATTTTTAAAAATAAAAAACGATTGAAGGTAAAGGAAAAAAAAGATGAAAAGAATACCTAGATCATTGAATGACCGCCGATTTGTTCGTGATAAACTTCAATCACATTATCTTCCTCCATTGCCAGTTCTTTGGCGGTGTGATTATCAGCAATTCTCTGACCATCAAACAGAAATCGAAGTGTATGCACTGGAACTCCCTGTCTTTGACAGTAGAATTCTTTGAGTTTCTTCATACGGGTTGTCATTTTCACTCTGAAGTGTACCTCGCTGTTATCCTGTCCAATGACTTTTAGTTTAATGTATTCTCCTGCGTTACCACCCACGTCTTCATTGGAGGGTTTTGCCTCCTGGCCGTCCATGGTGACAGTGGCTTCACTCAGTGTCTCCACTCGGGAGTGGTGGTGGCAGCCTCAGGTAGGCAGAACCTCGCTCCAGGGGTTTACAGATACGTCTCTCCCCCACAGCACGATGCTATGACTGGGTTGCTATGCTCAGGTTTGAATTCTGCTTTGGAATTCTTGATGACATGTCATAAATTTTCTTTATGATCCTTAGGGTTCTACTGACCTCAGTATGTCATTTGAGTTCTTTAATCGCTACATCTCAAGAGCAAGCTTACAATAAAAAATAAGAAAGGGATAAAAGGGAAGCACATAAATCAGCAGTATTACTCAACATCTCTTAGTCATCTGTCTCAGTTTGGGTTCCCCATAAATTAGACAGCAAGGAAAGGACTTTGGAGCATGTAGTTTATTTGAGAGGTGATCCCAGGAAGCATAAGTAAGAAAGGAGAGAAAAGCCAACAGACTATGTTAATGGCTAGGGGTTTGCTGCATTCAACTGGGGCTCAAGGTACTGAGGACCATGTGAGATAACACAGTAAACATGCCTCAGAATCATTTGTCTAGATGAATAAGAAGCAGGAACATTTTACCACCATCATCCATACCCAGAGTTTGAGATTTGGCAGGAGGTGTATCAGGGATTCCACAGTAACCCATTGTTTTTGTTTGTGGTGAGCATTATCCCCTGCTGCCTAGAAAACTCTTGGCAGAAGATCTGCCACTCAAGCAAGCCCTTGAGGGAGGGAACTGTCAGAGGGGTGGGAATCATGTACCAGACAGAGATGCCAGGTGACTCATTTGGGGCAAGGGGACATGGGATTGGAGTATCAACATCTCCTCCATCTTGGTTTTGTGTGTGTGTGTGATAATTATGATTTTATAAATGTATTACATTTACATAGTTTAACAAAAGCAAATAATCTGAAAGGCTTACAAAAACCAAACGTGTAGCTGCTTGTTCTAGCTTTCCCCTATCTTTACACCTTGTGCCTGCCTCTAGAGGCAGTCCTTTCCAATTCATAACATTCTCTTATTTACCTCCATATTTCTAAATATGTATGTTGCGATTTATCCATCTTATAACTTGTGTATCACTTTCCTGGTATGGCCATTGAGAATTTAATTTTTTTTAAAAGATTTTATTTATTTATTTGAGACAGAGAGACTGAGAGAGAGAGCACATGAGAGAGGGGAGGGTTGGGAGGGTCAGAGGGAGAAGCAGACTCCCTGCCGAGCAGGGAGCCTGATGCGGGACGCGATCCAGGGACTCCAGGATCATGACCTGAGCCGAAGGCAGTCGCTTAGCCAACTGAGCCACGCAGGCGCCCGAGAATTTCATTTTTTTAAAGGATTTGTTTATTTATTTATTTATTTGAGAGAGAGAGAGCACACGTGAGTGGAGAAAAGAGGCAGAGGGAGAAGCAGGCTCCACGCTGAGTGGGGAGCCTGATGTGGGGCTTGCTCACAGGGTCCCAGGATCATGACCTGAGCTAAAGGCAGAGGCTTAACCGACTAAGCCACCCAGGCACCCCTGCCATTGAGAAGTTAATGTTTTACATTATCTCACCTCCCTCCAATTCTCCCTCCCTTCCTTTTTCCAATCTTGTTATACCACAGTTTTGGGGTAACTCAATATTCATGTTATTTTGACAATACAAAAATTTTCCATTACTAAGACAAATAATATATAATGATAACAGCAGATCCTTGCTTGTAAAACTTCTGATTTTCCTCAGGAAAAGTATTTTCATTTTTATTTGTTTTTTTTAATGTACCTACTGGTAATTCTTTCCACATGCTCTGTATGCTCTGTAAAATGTATGTTAGCAATATCATTCCTGCAACATTTCTATTTTCTTTATGGAGTCATCTTCATTGGTGACCCCAATACAGTTCAATCACAACTAGCATACTGTATAACAGTCGTCCTGAGATTTCCCTTTACCTTTATTCTAGAACTTCTCTTTGCTTTTCATCTTAGATGACTTGCTTCTCGGCTCCCAGAAGTCATGTCCTCTCTCTTGGTGTGTTACCTTCCGTTAGTAGATTACATCTCCCATTAGGTTCTTGAGAGTTTCTATGGAAGAGAAATTGTTTTGAGGGTGAATTATTTCTGTAAGTGAAAATGTCTTTATTTTACCTTGACATTTGTTTGACATTTTAATGTCATTATAACATTCTAGCTTGAATATCATTTTTTTCAGAATTCTGAAGCATGCCCAAGTTGTCGTCTAGTTTCCAGATGTTAGTACTGGGAATTTCTGTGGCATGATAATCTCCAACCTTTTGTAGTTAACCTGTTCTATGTGCTGTTGCTCTTGGGTTAGTTTCAGTTTTCTTCTTGAAAACTTTTGCTTTTTTCCTTTCTCCTTTGTGTATTAATATCTTGCAGTATGTGGACTCAGAGGGTCCATTAATGTGATATTTTGCCACTACTTTCTGGCTAACATGGTATTTGTCTCTCTCAGTGGTGTTTTTCGTTTGCACTTTTTTTTTTTTTTAAAGAACTTTTACAAGCCACATATGAACTTTCTGGTATGACCTTTGACAGTGTTACCAGTTCTCCTACTTTCTACCTCTTTGCCTTCTTTCTACTTTGGGGGAGATTTTATTGACTTTATTTTATTGCATTTCTATTTTGGTGCCGTTGTTTTTGATTTGCACGACATCTTTTTTCTTCGTATCCTTCATATGCATTCTTTTCTGGTTCCATGTACACAGTGCCTCCAGTGAATGTTAGTTCATCAACATTTGCTCTGATTTCTCTGAAGATATTAACTATATTTGAAGTTTCTTCCTTTTCCTGCACTATCTTGTTACCTACATCATTTTTATATACTTTGAGTTTACTTTTGTCTCTTTCATGTTGGAAGCTTTCTTCAAGTATTTGTTATCTTTGTCTGCTCATATGAAGAATGAGTCTTACCTTCATGGCATATAGAAGAGTAGCATTTTTACATAAAAAAGGCAGACAGTAGGTTAGAGATCAGAGGAATGGTATTGTCCTTCACAGTTGCTAAATGGCACAGAAGATCTTCTCACGTTAGGATTTGTGATGAAACTTCTATAGATCCTTGAGCACTTTGATATTTAACACATAAGTTTAAATTTTAGTACATTTTATTTCCAAGAGGAAGGCCCATAGCATTAATCATTTCTTGAGAGGTAGCATCCTCTCAAAAGATTAACTGGCCTTGAGGTATAAGATGCTAGAGATACACCTCAGCTGTTAAAATGGCAATTGTCTTTATTTGAGTGACACACTGGTGTAGAGTTACTGGAAATAATGCAAATCTAAAGATTCACTCTAATATTGAAACAGGGAAAAATTGCTTTAACATTCTTTAAAATGTTTATTAGGTCCTCTGGCACTTCTACTTTTAAGATGAAGTCGGAGACAGAATTTATTCTTTTACCAGAAACAATTCAGAAGGAATTTTTTAAAAAATGGTTTTGAAGACATAGGATAAATTACATTGATTCCTGAGAGGTGGCAGGCAAGCAAGGTGAGCTCTGTGATTATCCCAGGTTATTGCCTCGAGAGACTGTCCAAACCATGGCACAGGGAGGGGAGCCCAAGTAGACCTTGCTAGACTTCTTGTGTTTTGGAGATGGACCTATGAGTCCAGAGAGAGCAAGGTGGCTGGGGTTTGCAGGACAGACTAATGGAGATGAAGTAGCTGCACAAAGAATCTTCAAGGGGTCCCCCTCAATTGGTACTCAAGAATACTGATTGCTACCTGCATGTGACGAAACTACCCCAGGCCATGGGAAAAGCCATCAGAGAGGATTGCAGGGAACAGTGCTCAGATCTCTTACGGGTTCAGGAATAGTGCTGCTTCCCATCAACCAGGCTGGGAAAACATAATTCACAGGACGAACGGGGATTACTCAGGATTTTGTCTCAATTGTGGGGAAGGTTAGCCCTAGGCTAAATGCTGCTCTGACTTGCCCTAGTAAAACTTACCTTTGGAGAGCAGGAAAGGCTTACCGACTGGGAGAAGGTAGAAAGGAAATTCTGATATGCTCTGTAACATTCTATTTATTGAGCTGGGATATAAGTGTTAAGAGTTGTGATACCGGGACGCCTGGGTGGCTCAGTCGGTTAAGCGTCTGCCTTCGGCTCAGGTCATGATCCCGGGGTCCTGGGATCGAGTCCCACATAGGGCTCCCTGTTCGGCGGGGAATCTGCTCCTTCCTCTCCCACTCCCGCTGCTTGTGTTCCTGCTCTCGCTATCTCTGTCTCTGTCAAATAAATAAATAAAATCTTTTTTTTAAAAAAAAAGAAATGGAAATAAAACAAGCCCAAAGAAAAGTGCAAAGAGAAATAAGAAGGATAATTAATGGTAGGAATGCACACATAAAATAGAGGATCAACAAAGCCAGAAGTTGGTTCTTAGCAAAAAGTTGGGAAACTTACAAACTAATGGTGAGATTGACAGGGGGAGGAGGAGAAGGGGTGGGAGAGAGAACAGGAGGGTACAAGAGCTATATCAGGAATGTAAGAGCTTGTAAACTATACCTGATGAAAACACTAAAAAAATGACAAAAAGACGTTTGATCAACTCAGTGACCTTTAATTTGAAAAATAAAATGACAAAACATAAAAAAACCCAAATTAATAAGTAAAGTGATTTGAATTTCACATATTCCCAGTAATTTCCAGCTTCTGATTACACATAAGATTCTAGGTTTAGATCAGATTAGCTGCATAAAAAAGAGGAAAAAAAGAGGGTGGTTTTTTGTTTTGTTTTTTTTTAAACTAAAAACTTCTTCTGTTTAATTATTAGCGCAAATGGCCTGCAAACCTTTCCCTGGGAAGTAAGACATCTTTGAGATAGGGGGATAATGGTGTGGTGGGCAACCTCTAAAGTGACCCCGGTCCCCTGATATCCACTCCCTGTGTAACAGCATAGGAAACGAGATGTCACTTCCAAGATTAGGTTAAAAGGACTCTGGCTTCCGTCTTGCTTGCAGGCTCCCTTGCTCTTCCTTGCTCTGGTGTAGTCAGCTGC